CATAATCTCAATAAAAAGTAAAAAAAAAAAAAAAATTTAGGTTGTTAATTAAAAGGAAAGAACTAACAGCATTTCACCTGCCTTTCTAGTAGAACAGAATGTCGGTGTAGCCCAATAGGCCCGAAGATGACAGGAAAGTTCTATTTTACATAAGAATAGACACTAATAAAAGATAAGTGTGACCATGTTAATCTGGCCATCTAGGAGAATGTCAATATTCTTTAGAAAATGCCTGTTAAGCTATTTAAGGATAGGAGGTCAAGATTTCTGAAATGTACTTTCAAATACTGCAGCACAAAAAAGAAAAAGCAAACTACATTTTTTAAAAAATCAAGCTTTTAAGAACACCTTGTATAATGTTCAAAGATGTAGCTTTCAAGGAAATAATGGACCTGGCATTTAAGAAAAAAAATCTAGTAGACCCTGACAACAAGAACTGCCTCATTCAATCAAACCAATTCAACGACTTAGGAATGTTTTCTTATCAGCGAACCCAATGAAATCATTTGGTTTTGTAATGCCTAATAATGAAACAACCACAATATCGTAAATGCTCAAATGTTTTTGAAGTCTTAGAATAACTTATAAAAGCAGAAAAGAATTACAGCTGGAATAACAAACTAAGTATCACACACTTATAATGTAACAACAAAGAACTGAAAGATGAGAGAGGGAGTGGGGTGATAGTTATGAGTCTGTTAAACTCATCTCTTATAATAGGAAGCCAATAGATCTTGTTGACAATTGATTAAATAAGAGGTATATTATTTGAAGTTAAAACAGTAACCGGTAGAAAATCTAAAACATAAATTGTTAACAGTGGCTATCTCTCTGAAGGGTGCAAAGAAACAAATTTTACTCTTTTCTATTACTTCAATTTTTTGTGGGCCAGTACATATATTACTTTTACGATTTAGCAAATTATATCCTTATAATCTAAAAAATCAAACTATGTTAAAACATATAAGATTATGTAACAATCTGATTTTAAATATTTAGAGGGTCAAACATAGTATTTTGCCACCTGCTATTTTTATTTATCAACACATGTCTACAGATCTTTCATTGTTAGGATCTATCTATTTCACTTCCTTTGTCAACTATACAGCATTCCATTGTACGTATGTATTATATTCTATTTAACTAGTGCATACATGAAGGGCAGGCTAGCCCTGGTGGTCCAGTGGTTAAGATTCAGCCCTCTCACTGCCAAAGCCTGGGTTCATTTCCCGGTCAGGGAACCAGACCACCCGTCTGTTGGTTGTCATATTGTGGTGGCTGCATGTTGCTGTGACGCTGAAAGCTATGCTGCCAGTATTCCAGCAGGGTCACCCATGGTTGACAGGTTTTGGTGGAGCTTCCAGATTTAAGACAGACTAGAAAGAAGGACCTGGCCACCCATTTCTGAAAATACTGGCCATGAAAACCCTGCGAATAGCAGCCGAGCACTGGCTGATGCAGCGCTGGAAGGTGAGAGGATGGCACAGAAAGACCAGGCAGGGTTCCGCTCTGCTGTCCACGGGGTCGCTAGGAGTCAGAATCGACTCAGTGGCTCTAACAACAATATGAAGGATGTTTTTATTAATTATCTTTAATATCTTTACACTGAGTGTCTGTTAGAGCAGACCTCGTTCTGGCATTGGAGATACAAAAGTTAACAAAGTCCTTGACCTGATGGAGTTTACATTCCAGCGGGGGAGGGAGAGTCAGATAAAGAAGTAAATTATAGCAGGTTAGCTGGTGATAAGACTAAGGAGAAAAACAAAGTAGGACACAGGAGTTACTGCGTGGGGTGGGCAGGGAGGAGTTGCTATTTTATACAGTGTAGTCAGGGTAGGTCTCTCTAACAGGGTGAATTTAAGCAGAGACTAAGGAAAACTGAGGGAGCAAGCCATGCTGATATCTATTAAGGCAAAGGCAACAGCAAGTGCAAAGGCCCCGAGGTGGGAGAAGGCCAGGTGTGGAGGGAACTTGATGAGGCAGGGAAATAGTAGTAAGAGACGAGATGTCAGAGTGGGAGGAAACAGACTATGCAGGGCCTTATGTGCCATTTTAAGAACTTTCAAGCAGGGGAGTGGCATGACTGGATTTATGTTTCAATAGGATCACTCTGGTCTGCTGAGAACAGATTAAAAGGAAACAAAGGTAGGAGCAGAGTCCAGTTAGGAGGCTGCTGCCATAATCTCAGTAGGAGACGTTCAGATTTGAGTGGTAGTAATGAAGGGGGTTAGAAGTGGTAGGATTCTGAACATATTTTCAAGGTAGTATCAATCACACTTGGTAATGGATTTGGATTAGAAGTATAAAATAAAGAGAAGAGACAAGAATGACTCAGAGGTTTTTAAACAATTAGAAGGAGAGAGTTGACAATTATTGAGATGTTGAAGGCTGTGGGAGAAATGGGTTTGGAGTGGTGGGATAAAATGAAAAATTCAGTTTTGGACATGTTAAATTTGATATGCTTAATAGACATAAGGAGAAAATGGCTAGAGGAAACTGAATGCACAGGTCTGGAATTCAGGACAGGGCTCTGGGCTAGAGATACAAACTTAGAAATCTCCTACATATGGGTGGTAATTACAGCAAAGAAACTAAACAAGATCAGGTAGAGAATGAAGGTAGACAATAGTCTGGGCACTCCAATGTTTAGGGATCCGGGAAATGAGGAGGAACCAAAAGAGTGGAAGCCCACAGAAGAGCATATCTTTGAAGGAGGGCGTGATCAACTGTGGCTAATGAAGCACGGTGGATAAGTTCTGAGGACTGACCACTGGATTTAGCAACGTGGAGGTCACAGATACCCTTGTGCTAAGTTCCTCTGAAACACTGGGAGAGGGAAACTGCTTCCAGATTTTTCCAATTATAAACAATACAACAAACATCTCTGTGTAGTTTTATGGGAATGGAATTTCAGGACCCAAGGATATGTAAACTTAACAATGAGATACAATACCAACTTGTCCAAATGACTGTACCAATTTATTGTCGGTATAAAACTACATGTGTGTCTAAAACATCACCTACATTGACAATGATCAAACTTAGTAATCTTTGCCAGTTTGATAGGTCAAAACATTATCTTGTTTTATTCTGAATTTTTCCAGGGCTAAAGTTAAGCATTTTTCCACATTGCCATTTGCCCTTTTTTTTTTTCTGTAAAATTGCCTGGTCATAGCCTTTGCTTATTTTTTTAGGAAACTGCTGGCCTTCCTATTAATTCATAGCATTTGTTGTATATTAATGTTAAAGAAAGGAAAAAGCAAAAGAGTTATTAATAAGCTTATATCCTGGCTGGAACTGCAGAGAGGCAGAGAGAAACAGAACTATATCAAAGCATTTAGAGCTTTGGTTTTTATACTGTTTCCATGTTCCTTCTTCAGATATGATCGTTTTCTTACTCCTCTCTGACAACTCTCTTCCAAGTGAGAACAATCTGGCTATAGCATCTGAAACTCCTTTGACAGCCTGAGTGTGCCAGCTGACAGGACTAAGCAGGTGGTAGTCCTTCATATGCATCCACCACAAGCCTGCATGCCCAGACCTTTTATGGAAGGCTTACATTAGGAAACCGAGTTCTCACTGATTGAAATGCTGTGTATTTAACTATATGCCTGTCACACAGTAGGCATTCAGCAAATATTCGTGGAATGGATAAAGGGAACTCCTCTCAAGAGAAAAGGAGGTAGTTTTTAAGGCAATAAAAAAATCAAAAGCGCAAATAACCCCCTGATCATCTAGGGCTTTGCACGACAAAGTTAGATCTAAGATGAAGATTTAACAAGTACCAGTGAATAGTAAGGAAAGAATGAAATATATACACAAAGACAGACAGATACATTCTCTAAAACAATACTATAGAGTGCTGCATCCTCATGCAAACTTCCATATTGCAGTCAGGCCCACTCACAATATTGTATCGGTCAATTCTCCCATTTTGCATTGCTCCCTTCTACCCTAAATTTTCCTGGCTAAAATTATACTGTCTTCACACAAGAAGTTTCTCCATTCCTTTGATGATTACAAAGTTCTGTGTTTTTAAAAAGTTGTATTATCTTTTTCTTGAGGAAAAGCAATAATAACTAAAAGAAAGTATTCCAAACAATGACGATAGTTCCCTACCTAATTATTTTATTTTTATTTCCTTTTCTTAAGAAACCCACAATTTTCATGGCCTTTTTGAATACAATTGCATGTGGGTTAATGACTCAGAATACACAGAGCAAATAGAGAGGAAACTTAAGATTACAACTGGAGAAAATGAACCAGTAAAAGGGAGGAAATTTGGATCAATGGTGATTTTAGCTCTCCAAGATGCCTCTAAAAATGGAAGTATAGGGCAATGGGGCTTTCTCTTGCTTTAAACCATCCTTGCCAACAAACATGTACTTGGAAGGGCACAGAAACCAAGAAAAGTAACAACTTTTGAGTCAAACTACACTATAAATTTGGTAAATAAAAATAGAGTCAAACTTCCATAATACTTGAATTCTTGTTCTTCAAGGAGGGAGAAAGAAGCAAGCAAGGAGAAAGGAGCAAACAGGTAGCCAAATACTCCTGGAAAAAGTAACCGTGCCAACACTCTCAAGAAGTGAGAGAAGGCAAGCATGTAGGTCACTCAAATACCACAGAGGGGAAATCACTGGTAAGCATGCTATCGAATGCCTGCCTACACATTAAAATTGTACTGACTTGAATAGTGCTTTAAATAAGTGATGGCTGGAGTTTGGAGATTTTATTTTTAATTATATAAGTACTTTGGTTGTAACGGAATTTGATCTGTATTTTCTTTATTTCTCTGTCAACCTAAGATTGTGATTTCCTTCCCATGGTTTTCTCAGACTTTGACAAAGCAGTCTCTTTCAGCCCTGAGTAAAAGCACATTACCTTTACAAGTGACACAGAGTTAGAAAAGTCATTATCTCTCTTAAAATAATTAGTCAAACTTCATCAAGGAGCTCCAGGGCAACAAGAATCTGCATAAACTTGGCCTCAGCACTCACTGAAACGAAAGTGAAGCAGAGGCCGGCTCCCCTCTGCGCCAGCTGCTCCGTGTCCAGCCGAGGTTTGGCTAACATCACTGACATCAGGGTTGGCAGAGCCGACTGCTCCTCCGATACCTCCTTTGCAGCGCTGCCATCCAAACCATAGAGGGGCTGCTCTACTCGCCGCTGGAAAACATTAAAGAAAACACACAAATTACAGGAGAAAGAACATCTGACACTGCCAAAACACGCAATAGATTAAAACACAGTTATCAAATATAAGAAGGATGCTATTTTTTAAAAACACCTTCTCTGAAAACAAATATGGAGAGCATAACATCATCGTGACTGGATTATAATCCACCTACAAACCTGAGTTAATATCTCCAGAAAATTACATTTTAATGGTTCTATATTTACATAACTCTGAATCTGCAGGTTACTTTGTAGAAGTCAACAAATCATCTTCATAATACCCTCAATCCTACAAAGGAAATGTTATTTCTATCCTGTAGGTAATGGAGATTTAAGACATTTGTCTCCCACTTTATAGGTAGAGCTTATTTCACTCTCAATCTATTCTCACCATACTTAGATGCAAAAATCTAAAATAAATACAAGTAAAACAAATTCCATAGTACACTAAAAGAATCACATGCCACAATTACGTATGGTTTATTCCAGAAATGTAAGGATGGTTCATTATTAGCAAATCTACTAATGTAATTCATTACATTAATGTTAGGGGGAAAAGACAATCAAGATTCTTCCCTTTAGATGCCAAAAAGCATCTGCATGTTGTTGGGCAACTTAAAAAGCAAAAAAAAAAAAACTAGAAGTCTCCATCTTTAATACAACAAAGAAGATTTTTTCAGAAATCAACGCAAATATACTTAAAGGTATTATACTAGAAACACTTGCATTAAAGTTAGGAACTAGACGGGTTAACATATTAATATCATAGTTATACAACATTATCATAGAAGTTTTAGCCAATGTGGTAAGGAAAAAAATATGACATATAAACACTGGAAAACACTAAAGTTAAAAAGTGTCATTTTTGGATGATATAACTATTCACAAAGGAAAAACAACAAAGAGTTCCAGAGGATGACCAAATATAAAATAAACATACAAAAATCAATAGTTTCTCCATATACCAACAACAATTGACTATAATCAGAACATGTAATGGAAGAAAAGCAGATTCAAGATTTTAAAAAATCTATAAAATACTTAGAAATAAACTTAAGAAACATGCAGATTACATATAAAGAAAAGCTTCATTGACGGATATAAAAGATGACAAATTAAAAGGCGATACCATGCTTTCGGGTTCAAATTTTATAGACGCCAAGTTCCTCTAAAAGTCAATGCTCAGGCCGTTTATTTTTTCGTTTTGCCTATTTCTTTTGTTTTGTTTTGCAAGAGAGTGTCATGGTGGGATAGTGATCATTTAGATTCTCTCTTGCTCTCTTTTGGGGGGTTGTTTTTGTAGATTATCACAAATTCATTCTGAGGTTCACATGAAAAAACAATCAAAAATAGCCACATAATTTTTGGTAAAGAATATCAGGGGAAACTTGACTAGCTATTAAAACTTACTACAAAGCAATATTAACTAAATCAGTCTAATACTGGTACAGGAGTAGACAGACTGATCATGGTACAGAATAAGAAATTCAGAAACAGACCCATATAATAGGGATGCATAATTTGTGATTAAAGTGTATTTCAAATTAGCAGGAACTTTTTAAGAAGATGGTAGGATATTTGCATAAGTATTAGAAAAAAAAGGAAAAGTAAATTGCTTCCTTACACATAAAAATTATGAGAAAATATAAACAAATGTTTTTATGACTTTCTAGTGGTAAAGGGCTTTTTAAACATGACATTAAAAACATAAACCATATAGGAACACTTAAGAACACAAAACCAGTAAATCATAAAGGAAAAACACTGATAAATTTGACTACTTCAAACAGTTTTACTTCTGTGGTGAATGCCAACATAAAGTTAAAAGACAAAATTACAAACAGATAAAAATATTTACAATGTTAATGACGATGTGTTAACAATCTTAATAAATAATGCGCTCCTATCCATCAGGAGGAAAAAACAAATACTCCAATAAATAAATAGAAAAGGACCTGAACAAGCATTAAAAGAGAAATGCAAAAGACCATTAAACATATGAAAAGATCACTAATCTTTTCACTAATATCACTAATGAAGAAATGCAAGTTAAAACAAGGTATTTTTCTCACTGGCAAAGATTACAATGATAAAATTCAGTATCAGAAGGGAATATACAACTGGGACTCTCAAACTGCTGATAACTTGCTAACAACTACGTGATGACATTTTAAAGTGAGCGGATCCTTTCACTTGGGAATTATACTGTGGAAATTTATCCAAAGGGAGAAAAACTGCTAGGTACAGATGTATATACAAGGACATTCATTAGAGCACTATTTATAGAATATAAAATGTTTATAGGATATTAGCTACATAAATACAACAGAAATGAGACCTATTATACGAACATACATGCATACATAATATGCCCACTAAACTCTTTACAATAATAGTTCTTTTGGAGGGTACTTTCTATTTTACCACTTCTCAATTGTTGGACTTTCATAATTTGCCTGTATACCTTTATCAGGAAAAACTATTTAAAATAAAAGTAAAACAAACTAACCAAAATGATCCTGACACAGGAATTTAGTTTTTTAATCTACGAGTAGAGTCCATCTCCTTAATACCAACACTCCTACCCTACCAAATGCAATAGTTTAAATTCAGGCTCCAGAACATCTGTGATACTGCTCACAATATTCTCACTGCTTGGGAGGATGTGTCTCTGAAGCTGCAATATTAAAATTAATCACTCTGTTATGTATTCAATAAATACTTTCCAAGGGCTGAACAATTTAAAAATATTTCTGAAGATACAGCAGGCTAGAATGTTTGAACCAGTCTTCCCTTAGTAAACAACTATAAAGACAGGACAAAATATGGAAAAAAAGATATTAAAAACATCAAAGAATTGATAAAATAGTAGGGATCTGCCAGGGCAAAACCTAAGGGAAATTAAGAACAAGACAGGTAAAAGAAATACCAAAGTCACATTTGCCCTAAGGGTACCTGCAGATCTTGAATTTCCACTTCCAAGGCACCATGTTGCCAAGTGAAGAGTCACAGGCCAAAAGCTCACTCAAGACAGGGGGTTCAATAGGAAACCTTTCCCTTTCAAGCTATCAGGGAAGATGTAAACCAGAATAAAAATTTCCCCCACCCTCAGAGAACTGCAAGGAAGGTGCTTTGGCAACGCAAGGGGCGGGAGTTCTCCTGAAAAATGTCAACACAATTGAAAACAATACTGCCTGAGTGGTTGAAACAAACAAACCAACCAAACAAACAAAACACAAGCCGTGAATTCAGTAGTGTAAAGTAGTGCTATACTGGTAGAATCTCTAGGCACTAGGAGGAAGCAAATAAGAATTCTCCCTGGAGGAACACATCTTCATCCTAGATCTCAAAGAAACTTCACATGTAATTTTTCAAGAAGAATGAGTGGCACAAAGTAAAAAAGAAAAGAAAAAGCATAAAAGAAATAAAGCCCTGAGTAACAACTAGGAAAAACAGGAGACAGCAGAAACAAATTCATAAAAACTTCAAACACCAAGATTATCAGACACAGATTATAAAACAATTATGTCTACTAGATTAAAAACAAAAAAAGACAGCTTTGAAAATCTCTGCAAACAAATAAAATAACAAAAATTGAGAATTCAGTTGGGTTAACAACAAATTAGATACAACAAAACAAAGAATTTGGGAATTGAAAGGCAAGAAACTATCCAGAATGGAGCATATAGAAACAAAAAGAGAATAGAAAAAGAAGCTGAGGTATAGTGATAAAGTGAGCTGGTCTGACATATGGTTAATCGGAATTTCACAAGGAGGAGAACAAAGAGAACAGGGCAGGGATAATATTTGAAGACACAATGGCTAATAATCATCCAGAATTGGTGCAAGACACCAGCCCACAGATACCAGAAGGCCAACAAATCAGAAGCAAGAGAAATAAGGACACATTATAGTAAAATTGCAGAATACCACAGAGAAAGATTTTAAAAGCAGCCACAGGGGAAAAAAAGCAGATACGTTCAAAGAAACAACAAGTAAATGAAAGGCATTTTCTCAAGAGTAACAATGGGAGCCAGAAGACGGTAATCATATACTCAACTGTGTTAAAAGAAAAAAATGCCAATCTAGAAATATACGCAGCAAAAATATCTTTCAAGAATAAGGGCAAAATAAAGTTATTTAAGCAAACAAAATCATTAACCTCCAGCAGACACATAATAAAAGAATACTGAAGGAGTACTTTAGGCAGAAGGAAAGTGACCATAGGTAGAAGGTGTAACATGCACAAAGGAAAGAAGTACAAAGAGGTGAGTATACAGATAAATCTAAATGAACACTGACAGTAAAAAATAATAATGATGTGTTATAAAGCTAAAAACAGGCAAAATGAAAACATACACTACCACCACCAAGGCAGTAGCAGGTAAATAAAGTTAATGTTCTGAGGTCATCATTTATTTGTGAGGGGGATAAAGACACTATTAACATCAAACCTTGACTATTAAAGATACATGTGGTAATTTCTTTTTTCTTTTTTACTTAGGAAGATTAGCCCTGAGCTAACTACTGCCAATCCTCCTCTTTTTGCTGAGGAAGACTGGCCCTGAGCTAACATCCATGCCCATCTTCCTCTACTTTATACGTGGGATGCCTACCACAGCATGGCGTACCAAGCAGTGCCATGTCCGCACCCAGGATCCGAACCAGGAAACCCCGGGCCACCAAGAAGCGGAACTTGTGAACTTAACCGCTGCACCAGCAGGCAGGCCCTACACGTGGCAACTTCTAAGAGGAACACCAAACAGGACCTAGCTACTGGTGGAGAAGGAAAATATGAAATGATTTTAAAAATCAATCCAAATGGAAGAAAAAGGAACACAGAACAGGCAGGAAAAATAGAAAACACATTAAAAGATGGTATATTTAAACTCAATATAACAATAATTCTATTAAACGTAAGTAAGATAAATGCTGAAGTTAAAAATATTTTACATTGAATAAAGAAAAAATTAAACTATATGATATCTGTCAGATACACTGAAAACATAACAATGAAAGTTGATAGTATAAAAATGGATTTATATCATACAATGGTTTAGATACATTAAATATCACATAAACTGCATTTAGAGCAAAAAGCATCACAAGAGATGAAGAGAGTCATTTAATAATACACAGAGCAAAAATATAAATACATACAGGAAGAAAGACAACTCCCACAATCATGAGAGACATGAATACACCTCTCTTAGTAACTGGTAGAGCAAACAGCCAAAATGCAGAATAACAGAAGATTTATGCACTGTGATTAAATGTTACGATTAACAAAAATGACTATGATAAAACTAAACTATTTTGTTTAGGGGTGCATACATGGATGGTCAAATTATATGGAAAAGCAAATAAATAACCATAAAAATTAGAACAGTGCTTATTTCTAGGGTAGAGGGAGGGGGTTGTGATCAGGGAAGAGTATACAGGCTTCCAGGGAGCTGGAAATATTTTACTTCTTGACCTAAGTAATGATCAGATGACATTAACTTTATAATCATTTCCTTTAAATTTTTTTTGTGAAGGATCAAACAAATATTTTAGGCTCTTCAGGGCACATATCATCTCTGTCATATATTCTTGGTCTCTAAAACTCTTCAAAAATCTAAAAATCAGGAGCCAGCCCAGTGGCATAATGCTTAAGTTCACACACTCCATTTAGGTGGCCCGAGGTTCGATGGTTCAGATCCTGGGCGCAGACCTACACACCTCTCATCAAGCCATGCTGTGGCAGGAGTCCCACATATAAGGCAGAGAAAGATGGTCATGGATGTTAGCTCAGAGCCAATCTTCCTCAGCAAAAGAGGAGGATTGGCAGCAGATGTTAGCTCAGGGCTAATCTTCCTCAAAAAAAAAAAAAAATCTAAAAATCATTCTTAGTTTGCCAGCTGTGGGCTACAGTTTACCAACTCCTACAATCAAATGTTCATGTTTTATGTACTTTAACAAAAAAATACAGAAGAACCACTTAGGGGGAAAAAGTTAAAGTAATTCTTTACCCATCTATTCTTCCCTTTCAACAGTCTTGAGCACCCACTGTGTGCCAAGCACTGTATTGGGGTGTTAAGAGACTGAAAACTGAACAAGATATTATTTCTTCCAGGTCAAGTGGGGGAAACAGTTAAAATAATTACACCTTTATGTAATAAGTACTGTGAGAGATGAAAGAGCAGTAAACAAAACAAAGACCCTGCTCCCATGGGATTAACATTCTAGTGGGAGAAGATGGGTGACAGATTAATTGTATAGTTAAAAAAAACTCATGTACGATGTTAAAAGTCAGGGCAGTGGCTCTCCTCGCTAGCAGGGAGAGGGCTAATAACTGGAAGGTAGCATAACGGAGGCTTCTCGGGGGCTGGTAAGATTTGGTTTCTTATGCTGGTAGTATGTGAAAATTTAGTAAGCTATAGACTTACATGTGTACTCTTCTATATGTATAAATACGAACCAACAAAAAGATTTAAATAGATATCAAAATTTAAGTATATATGTCAGGTGGTAATAACTAAAATTTAAAATAAAGCAGGATTAGGGCCACAGTGACAAGGTATGAGAGACTGCTATTTTAAAACTGACCAGGGAACATCTCTCTGACAAGGTCATTTCTGAGCAATAATCTGATGAAGAGATTGCTAATCATGCTCTTCCTGGAAGAGGGAACAGCAAGTACAAAGGCCCTGAGGCAAAAGAGTGCTTTGCAGTGTTCAAGGAACTTCAAGGAGGCCAGTGTGGCTGCAGTGGCATGAGGGAGAGGGAGGACAGTTGGAGATGTCAGAGTCAGGTGAGCAGGGGAGCACCGATCACATGGGAGCTTCTAGGCCATGTAAGCCAGAGTAATCTGGACCAGCAGCTTTGAGCAGAGGCCCGTGAGGATCTGTCCTAACTTTTTAACAGAAATCACGCTGGCTACTATATTGCGAGTGCCTGAGACAGGGGCAGAAATGAGACGACCACTTTGGAGGATAATGCAGAGAACAAGAAGGATAGAAAAATGGTCAGATTCTGATATATTTTAAAGGAAAAACAAGAGTTACTGATGGATTAGATATGGGGCATGAGGCTGTGACCTGAAAAACCAGACAGAGTAAAATGTCCCTGAGCAGGACAGGGGAGCCTGCAGGAAGAGTGGTTTGTTGTTTTGATAGTGCAGGGGGAGCAAGAGTTCCTTTGTGGACGTTCCCAAGCTGTCTATTAGATATATAAGTGGAAATGTCAAGTTGGATACCTAATTATCAGGGAGACCAGTGCCCAAGTGAAGGGCTGGTACGTTCATGCATCCTGATAGGCAGGTATGGACGCTGATGCAAGCAGCTTGGTCGATTTGGTGAGGGGCATGTAAAAGTTTTCTTCTCATTGCTCCTATTTCCTCAGTAAAATAAGAAAAGTAAAGCCATCAGTTGAGATAGTAGAGAGGAAGTACTGTTGGAGGCTTGCAGGAAATAACAAAAACATGACATAATCATACAAATATTCATCTAGGAAAGGTAACTAGGCCAATAAAGTAGGGTTGGCAGGCAGTTAGGGGTGCACACGAGATTAGTGCTCATGAACTTAATGTGAGACTAGCCAGCAGGTGCGTTTTCCTCCTACTATGCTTGAGTGGCTTAGAGGCAGGCAAGGGAAAGGTAGAGAACTAGATTTAACCAAGACTGGGTTTTTTCAGGCAAGTATGATGCAGAGAGACTGGGAAAGGGGAATGAAGGGGTATGCACAAATCAATGATTCTAACAATGAAGCACAGAATCTAAGCTGGGAGAATAAAGGGCTTCTCGGTGCAATGGAAAAGGGAAATTAAGGTTCAGTTCCTACTTCAACATCTAATATATACTTAGATTTGCATAATGATGATGAGGCCCAGCCAGCATTCAAATAGCTGGCAGAAATGTCTATAGATCATTGCAGTCATCTCTTTTGTCTTCACCTAAGACTTGACCTAAACTGGCAAATGACAGATGGGTAGTCACACTATTAAAAACCAAATAAAAAAAATCTATTTCAGGGAGAAAAAAGTAATAGACACCAAAATTTTACAAAACATATATGTCCTAAATAGGTAACTATACAATCTTGTTTAACATTTTTAAAACTTTAACTGGCTTAAAACTTAAGAAAAATAAAGACACGGGCCTCCCAGTGTCCCTGTCTCCCTAACAGTTATCTAACAAATCTCACCCTAACCAAACAGAGCTATACATCAGACACTTCTAACATTTTAAAATAGGGCAAGAATGACAAAATAATAGCAAAAATTTTCAAGTTGAATACATTTCCGTAAGTACTTTAATAATTAAAACCACACTAATGAATGCATGTTTTTATGAGACAGTAGATGGAAAGAAGTGCATTTTAAAATACTTTAACAATACGGAAGACTAAATCACTTAGGAAAAGAGCGGTATTAACCAACTCTGCTGAGGCAGAGAAAAACAACTTTCCTAAACAGAGACCTAGGATGAAAATTCCTGATCTTAGGGAGACCCTTTGTGCTCCAAGATCCCACCGCAATACCTGAGGCATCAGTAGACATAACAGACTCTTGAGTACAGAAGTCTTGTACGTACTAATAAATTATCGAAAGGCACTCAAGCAAATTAACAGAAAATCCTACATTAGCTAGCTCAGGGATTCTCAACCTTGGCACCAGTGACATTTTGGACCAGATATTCTTTGTTATGGGGGCCTATCCTGTGTGGACTGGAGGATGTTTACCACCATCCCTGGCCTCTGCCCACTAGATGCCAATGGCACCATCCCCCCCCCCACCTCCTAGCTGTGACCAAAAATGACTCCAACACTGTCAAATGTCCCCTGAGAGGCAAAACTACCCCTGGTTGAGAACTACCAACTTAGCTATAATGTTTTTAAGACTTTCACATCTCACTTATAGGCAAGAAACAAACCTATCTCAAATGTGTATAGTATTACCTTTTCTACTATAAACTGAGTAAGCCTTGAAAATAAAACAAATGCCAGGAGTGGACCAAACATCTTTAAGTCTGGCAAGGATAAAAACCTACTGTTTGGATTGAAAATCACTTCCTTGACAGAAGACTGAGCTGTAGGCTTACAGGCAATTTCTTATACTGAGAGAATGGTTAGCTCTTGTAAAATTTAACTTACTGATACAGATTTGAATTTGAATAAGTGATCCATAGGTAATACTATGAACTTGTCTCCTTAGTGCCTCATTCCCAATAGGGAATGAATGGAAGAGAAACTCCTTGAGTGTTCCTGGGGCTTCTTGTCTCCTACAATAGGTGTCAAATTTCTCCAGGTGAATGCTTACCGGTAAGGGATTGGATAAGGAATGTTGCGGTGAGGATCGTGCAACTGGTGGAACACTTCTGCCAGGGCTGGTTCCTGGCCCGCTTCCCCCAGCAAACTGGCCAACAGGGAAAAATGGATATGAATAATTCAAAACAGTACTATGCTTCAGATAAGGAGAGTAAAAGATTAACACACAAACAGGTCTTAATTATCTATGGCCCCTTTAAGTCAATACATCTTATTCTATAGAGAAAATGCCACGTAAGTCAAATTTTTCTATCTTTTCACTGAGATTTTTAAGAAGGAGCTCCAGCAGAAATGTATCAGATATAAAGAAAACATGGCTAGAAAGCTGCAGGTATACACGGTTTTGAAAACATAAGAGAAGAATGTTTTCCCTTCTTGTCTCAAAATACACGAAGCAGGAATACAGCGGTACAGTGGATGTTAGCGTCTTCTTTAGCAACCACTAACGATGGGTCAGTGAGCTCACTACAGGTTCCACTGGACTAAAGGGAAGAGGACAAAAGAAGAGTCCAAGTCACTCAACTCCAATCTTTGTCAGACACGAAACCTAGTCTGGCCAAGAGAAAAATCACCTCATTTGTGAATTTTTATATCATCACAGACAAGACACATCATAAACAAATTTAAATTTTGGAAGTCAGCAGCAGTTTCCTCTGACAGACAGAGATGGGGCAGCATTAGATTGATGAAGATGGGGAGGAAGAGGAGGAAAGCACAGTAAAGGCAAAATACTGCTCTCTAAAGCCTTAAGTGAACCAAAGAATTTAGGTTTTAAATGATCACTACAGATTTTTTTTTCCAAAAAGTTTAACTTACCTCAAAGTAATCACTAATTTTATGTCCCCTAGGAGTGCCTTTCCCTGAAAACGAAACCAAAGTAAGTATAATTTTTCCAATAACACATGTAAACCATCATTCACTACAATGCATTATGTATTCAATAAGTGCATACACTGTTATCAATTCAAGTGTCAGCTTCACTTTTAACAAACTAGCCAAAATACCTATATCCTAAAAACAGAGACAGTTTCCTCCATATAATAAAAGACTGAATAAGCAGTAAAAGGAAGACTTTTGCACAGCTTGCTTTCCTTTAAGATTCACTAATCTTTCTTTCATAAATACACTAACAAAACTTATGCCCCAACTGTGAATCAAGATAAAACTAATCGATAATCCACGCTCCCAACTAAAAGAACAAAGAATTCAAAGCAAACTCATCAGAACTAAAGGGTTTATTCTATTCCACAAAAAGAATTTATGTGACCTTGTCACTTTCGGAGAATTTCCCCCCTAAAAGAAAAAAGTGATTCATAAATTTAAAAAATAATAAAAACACACAAAAAACCCCTGGGACCTCCATTTCTTAGAATGAGGGAGAAGACAAACCAAACCATGTATTCTTTCTTTAATTACATAAAGATGTTTAACATTATAACCATTATATTTACAGATTTATTCCACTGTGCACCAATGTTCAACTAAATAAGTGACACGGAAGAATAGGTGGAAAGGACAGCCATGTAAAATGAAATTATTTCTGGTCACATACTATTAACAAATCACTGATCTAATGCAAGACATAGTTAAAACTCCAATGTTACCTCTTATCTGTACAATACATGCTTAGTCTGAGAAAAACCTGTGGCAAGATTGTTAATTTACAACAGGGAAAACAAGAGTCCCCAAAGAAATGACACTGTTTTGTCAAGCATGTATCAAATCGCAAGTCTGTAATAAACAGCCTGATATTCCCTTAAGGTATACAAAGCTCCTTTGTTAGGAACCCCTGTACACAAACTAATTACTCAGTGTGAGTTTGAAAATTCTAAGAACATAAGAATTTAGTATTTTTATTGGTGTGAAATTATTACTACCTTGGCTAGTTTCATATGGTTCAGCTTTTCTTTTCCGGTTTCGCTGGTCATTCTGCTTTTTCTCAGGAGTCTGTTAAATACCATATACATCAGAATTAGCATTTTGCTAAATTTTTCACATTACAAAAATTAGAGAGAACAAAATATCAAATTTATAAGGAGATTTAACTGGCACAGACAAGTCCTAAATCCACGTTCTGCTCTTAAAGTAGCGTCATGGAAAAGTGTAGAGTCTGGAACCAAATCATCTATGTAATTTTTGGCAAACTTAAATTATCAGAGCTTCAATTTACTCATCTGTAAATCACGGTTGCTGGAAAGCTTAAATAAGATAATTCATAAATCACAAATGTAGTACAAATATCTAGCATACAGAAGGCTCTCGGACAGCAGCTGTTACAATATTTCTACTTTAAAAGAGCTTAAATTTCTGTTTCAAAAAGGAAAGATATACATAATCAATCAACTGGCTCTAATTTATTGAAAGCTTTATCTAAGTGCAAAGTAGGTAGCTGCAGATTTGGACCCATATCCATGCAACTAGGTTATCTGCCTAAAAAACACAATTTTCAGCCAGACTACAGTGATCCACGCTATTGAAGTGCAGTCCTGCATTGCTTAATGACGGGAACACGTTCTGAGAAATGCGTCATTAGGTGATTTGGTTGTTTTGTGCACTTACACAAACCTTGGTGGTACAGCCTACTACACACCTAGGCTTTATGGTACTAATCTTATGGGACCACTGTCATATATGTGGTCTGTCGTTAACTGAAGCGTCGTTATGTGGCACATGACTGTACTACCAAATGTGAAAATTCAAGGATACTTAAGCTAATTCAGTTACAACTGCAAGTTTTTGCCCTTCATTGATGGCAACTAAGCAAAAAAATTTTTAAAAAGAAAAGAAAGACAACACCTATACATGGTTATAATAATAAAAACCCATCAGGGCCACCTCACAGCTGTATAGACACGAAGAGCACACAACTCAAAGGGGAGCCGTTCACACAGACCCTAGCAGTGCCCCTAGAGTTATGCAGTGTTATTTAACCCAGACTGCAAGTGTGGGACTATGAAAAGCCTTGTAATGGGTGTGGCTTCTTACCTCTACTTCTTTATCACTCAAGGACCCCACGCTGCACAAGCTCTGGTTGGAAGACTCACTATTGAGTGGCCCCTGGAAAGAAAAAAAAAAAGCTAATTTAAGATGACAGCAAAACTGAGGAAGAAGCCTGACTTTGATGTCTAAATCAGCTCAAAGAGGCCAAGAGTTAACTGCAACACCTCCAAGCCAACTTGAAAAGAACTCAATCAACTATAGTACAGTGCCCTCATGTTAAAATTCTCTTGCTACTATTATTTTCATTTCCTTTACAAACTCTGTACTCATGTACAGATTTTCCCTTCTAGAGCACTTTCAAATGTAGTGACTTCACTCTTTAAGGAAAATAAGAGGGGAAATCAATTCTCTTGGCCTCTTGTATCTGAAAGCTGAGATGCTAAGGAGTGCATTAAGGGTTCCCTATGAAGGGGGGTCAGGGACCACAATGAAAGAAACACTTTTTCTGAGTCATGCTTTAAGGAGGCATGACTGCTAGCTCAAAAAACAAAGTTATGAGAGACTGACTCTGCTGGCCGCCTCCTCAGTGAAATTGGTGAAAATTATTTCATAAACAACCATTTAAAGCCTCTAGAAATGGTCCCTAAGGGCAAACGGCAAATGAAGAAATAATTATTCAATAAAATCTATGAAAATTCAGTTGAAAAGTAAGTTTGTGGTATTTGAACCAAGACCACTCTCTCTCTCCCCCTCCCACCTCAACAAGGCTCTAGACTGCTGTAGCCAAGAACACAGGGCTCCCCCTTCCCTCAGCTCTCAGTCCAATACTCTCCTCGCTGTTGGGTAGATTCAATGGAATCTCTATCAGAATCTCAGCTGGCTTCTTTGTAGAAACTGACAAGTTGATCTAAAATTCTTAAGGAATTACATGGGACCAGCACAGGCAAAACCTTGTAAAAGAACAAAGTAGGAAGACCCATTCCTTGACTTCAAAACTTACCATAAAACCATAGTAATCAAGACCGTACAGCACTTGCATAAAGACAGATCATTGGAATGAAATTGAGAGTCCAAAGATAAATCCATAATGCACAGTCAAATGATTACTGACTAAGGTGCCAAGACCATTCAACAGGGGAAAGAACAGTCTTGTAACAAACGGTGCTGGGACAACTGGATAACCACAGGTAAAAAAGTTAGACCTTTACCTCACACTATAAACAAAAATTTACTCAAAATAGCTCAAGGACTGAAATGTAATAGCTAAAACTATAAAATTCTTAAAAGAAAACAGGTAAATCTTCATAACCTCGGATTAGGCAAAGAATTCTTAGATATGACACCAAAAGCGCCAATTACAAAAGAAAAGAGATAAATTGGACTTTTTCAAAATCAAAAACCTATGGTTGAAAGGACACTACCAACAAAGTAAAAAGACAACCCACGAAATGGGAGAAGGTATTTGCAAATCACATATCTAATAAGGGATTTGTATGCGGTATAAAGAATTCCTACAATAATAAAAAAACAGATAACCCAATGTAAAAATGAGCAAAAGATCTGAATAGATATTTATCCTAAGATGATATACAAATGGCCAATAAACACATGAAAAGAAGTTCAACATCATTAGCCAACAGGGAAGTACAAATCAAAACTACAATGTAATATCACTTCACACCTACTAAGATGGCTAGAATCAAAAAGACCACAAGAGGTGCCAGCCCGGCCCATGCCAGCAGTTAAGTTCGCGCGCTCTGCTTCGGCAGCCCAGGGTTTTGCCGGTTCGGATCCTGGGCCGAGACATAGCACAGCTCATCAGGCCACACTAAGGTGGCGTCCCACATGCCACAACTAGAAGGACCCACAACTAAAATATACAACTATGTACCAGGGAGCTTTGGGAGAAGAAGGAAAAATAAAATCTTTAAAAAAAAAAAAAGACCACAAGAAGTGCTGGCAACAATGTGGAGAAACGGGAAGCCTCATACACTGCTGGTGGGAAAGTAAAATGGTGCAGCTGCTTTCAAAAACAGGCAGTTCCACAAACAATTAAACAGAGTTAGTATATGACCCAGAATGCTACTCCTAGGTATACACTGAAGAGAAATGAAAACATATACAGAGAAAAACTTGGACACAAATGTTTATAGCAGCATTATTCACAAAAGTCAAAAGGTAGAAACAACCCAAACGTTTGTCAACTGATAAACAGATAAACAAAATGTGATATATCCACACGGTGGAATATTATTTGGCCATAAAAGGGATTCAAGTATTGATGCATGCTACAACATAGACGAATCTTGAAAACATTTTGCTAGATAAAAGAAGCCAATCACAACAGACCACATATTAAACGATTCCATTCATATGAAAATCCCAAACAGGGAAATCTAAGACAGACAAAGTAAGTTAGTAGTTGCTTAGGGTGGGAATGGGGAGATATGGGGGTGACAGCTAAAGAATATGAGGTTTCTTTTTAAGGTGATAAAAATGTTCTAAAACCGACTGTGTTGGTGGTTGTACACATCTGTGAATACACTAAAAACCAATGAACTGTAATTTCAAATGAATGAATTATATGGTATACGAATTATATTTTAATAAAGCTGTTAAAAAAACCAAGGCTTAGCATCTGAAATAATTACATTCCCGTTAGAGTGTATTAAGTATGCCTTTCACTGTATCCTTAAAGCACTACTTTTAAACTGCAATTAACACAATAAACCACACTGCTTCATAGTGAGACATTTGTGAAGCTGCAAAGAAAAATAAGAAAACCAAACTAAGGAGAAGAAATAAAATCAAATCATGTATTCCAAGTGACATAAATCAATGAAGGATTTATTTCTATGATACAGAGTTCCACGATGTTTTAAATGAAAGAGGTTTATTTGCATAAGAATTCTACAATAACTTAAAGTGAGTATTTCTATCCCAAATTTAAAAAATATTCTGTTCATGAATTATCTCTATTGTAACCATTATGAAGCATTTTTTCCCTTGGATAGTAATAAAACCACACACACTATATTTTAATTATCCACTTTACTCACCAAAAATCCCTCACTTTCAAAAGGAAATGGCAAATGTGATGAATAAAGACAAGAGAAAACTGAAGAACCTATTTTTTATTGGCAATTACTAATAATGAAATAAACTGTAAAGTGGACATAACAGTGGGGTTCAATTGTAGCATGTGAGATACCAATGCAAGAGGCACAAGGATCCTTGTGGTTCCTTGGGTATGTGTGTCTAAGCAAAGGAAAAAAGAACTTTCTCTGTCCTTTTCTGAAGCACAGTATTCCGAATTATTATAAAATCATTAGATTATATTTAATTAACAGGGATAAATGACATGCAGTGTCTGTTCTAAAATAGCTTACTGTCTAGTAAGAGAGCTAACCAAAGGCTTTTAGGCAAACTTTCAAAAATGTCACTATCATTAAAAACAAACAAACAAAAAAGGCAGAAGAAACTGAACTAAATTAAAGGAGGATTAGAAAGGCCTGACTAAATTCAACGTATGGTCCTTGATTTGACCTGGATATCAAAACAAAACAAAACCAAAGGACATTACTGGGACAAAGGCAGAAATTGAACATAGACTATATACTAGAAAAATCCTTCTACAAACTGGTCTGTTGTCATCAGTTCCTCAGCTGTAAGCTTTCCCATTTGTTGCATCTTTTGACTACAGTGCTTTGTAAGTCTTCATGAGCTCATCTTCAGCTTTGGGAGAGTCCTCCACTTCTCAGGGGTTAAGGAGCAGTCCCAAAGGCAGTCTAGTGGTTGCTTCTGCCAGCGCCATATAACATTCTTCCGTTTCAAACACAGTTATACATTAGTTTTCCTGCCCAGATTTCCAAACAAGGTTGGAGTTTCCATTTCTTGCAGGTGGCTTTTAACAGCCATAATCCAAAGTTAAGTGGCTCACTTCTGTTCCATCTCCTGGACTGGGGGGCAGTCTTACTAGTCCTAGTTCATAGATAAGCTTGCCCCTTCTCCCAATTCCTAGCTTTACACAGTTCCAGTTCAGTCCTTTGGCCTCAATTACTATCCCCAGGGGTAAATTAAATCCCAAGGCACAAAAGTTTATGGGTCATTAGGGTTTAACTTCCAGTCAACATTGTGACATCTTCACATATTTGAAGCTATAATAACTTGGATTCTATTTTACTGCTGACATTCAGGAATTATATAATTTTCATGTATTTCATTTAGCCAGTCACTTTACTGAATTGTTATTCTTTCTAATCATCTCTCAGTTTGTTCTGTTTAATTTAGTTGTTTAGACATAAAATCACAGCATTTATAAATAATAAGTTTATAGCTTCCTTTCTACAATTTATATCTCATTTCACATTTTACTGCATTGAATAAAACAACATAAATAATCATCATAAACATTGTTTTGGGGGCCGGCCCGGTGGCCCAGCGGTTAAGTGTGCATGTTCCGCTTAAGCGGTCCAGGGTTCACTGGTTTGGATCCCAGGTGTGGACATGGCACCACTTGTCAAGCCATGCTGTGGTGGGCATCCCACATATAAAGTAGAGGAAGATGGGCACGGATGTGAGCTCAGGACCAGTCTTCCTCAGCAAAAAGAGGAGGACTGGCAGCTGATGTTAGCTCAGGGCTAACTTCCTCAAAAAAAGAAACAAAAACATTGTTTTGTTCTTTTTTTCCCCCAAGGTAATTCCTCTAGTGCTTTACCATTAAAAACTGTATTAAGACCTCAAATAACCAAAATAATCTTATAAAAGAACAACAAAGTTAGAGGTCTCCCATTTCCTGATTTGAAAACTCATGATAAAGCTACAGTAATCAAAACAGTATGGCAGTGGCATAAAGATAGACATATAGACAAATGGAATGGAATCGAGAGCTCAGAAATAAACTCTCACATAAATGGTCAAATGATTTTTTCTTTTTCCATCTTTTTCTTTACTGATTTTTTTTTTCAGTTTTATTCAGTTATAATTGACATTGTATAAGTTTAAGGTGTACCACATAACAACTTGACATAAAACGATTTTCAAAGAGAGCACCTAGACCATTCAATGAGGAAAGGACAGTCTTCTCAACAAATGGTGCTAGGAAATCTGGATATCCA